CTTTCCATCATAGTCCTGCCACAACACCCACTGCCCTGATCTACTGAGGTCAGGACAGTGTTCTGCAACCTGTTATGCTATGTGCCCAGCACCTACCACAGTGTGTGGTGCACAGGAGGCCACCACATACTTGTGGAACTATCGAAACAGTAGTACTGCTAGACAGTTGGCTAGGATTCCAGGAATGCAGCACTCCATTAAAGACTTACAAATATTTGCTTATTTGTATATGAGCAGCAGTGTCCCTATTGCACTTAGTTACCAAAGTCCTGTTTTTTGATACAATGATAAAGTCAGTTTTATTGATCTATTGACAATGGAGAGGCAGAGTGGTCTATGAAATGAACGTGAAGATGTCTTTCTTGTCACTGGGTCACTGGGGTCCTATCAGAGGCACTTGGACAGATACAGAATTGACTAAAGGAAAGAGAATGTGATTCAGTTCTTGGGAATGCCAGTTGGGGCTCAAGGTCAGAGCTACAGGACAACCTTGTGTAGGTACTTAATCATCATCACACCCTTTTCTTGTTGGTATCTACAAAGTTATCATCAAAGTCTGAGGATACAACTATAGTCACCCCACACACGTGTGGAGGCCAGAAGACAACCTTGAACGCCACCCTCAGTAATGATGCCTATTTGCTTCAAGACAGGATCTCTCAATTGGCCTGGAGCTTACTAATTAAAATCTAGACTGACTAGCCGGCCAGGATGAAGTATCTTCCCATCTCCCAGCATGTATGTGGGTGCTGGAGATCAAACTCAGGCCTCATGCTTGCAAGGCAAACTCACTTCACTGACTGAGCCATCCTTCTGGGCCCCAAACCATCACAGCCTGCCTAATTTCCTCATTCTTCCTCTAGTATCTCGGATTCCTATTTTTTCCCTTGAGGCAGTATTTCTCTGTATAGCCCTGGCTATCCTGGAACTTGCTCTGCAGATCAGGATAGCCTTTAACTCAAAGATCCACCGCTTCTGCATTGTGAGTGGTGGGATTAAAGGTGTGTGCCACCACCGCCTGGAGCATCTCAGCTTACTTTTTATTTTTTCCATTCCATGAAGCATTGCTGGTGAGTCTACATCCCCAAAGATTTGCTCTACAGAATGTACAAACAAAACACAAATTTGGGCATACTGTCAAAACCCAGTAATGAGAGAGGACTGAAGTACTGCCGGAAGAACTTGGCTTCTAAGACTTCCAAGGAGACATTTGGGCAACCTTGGAGGGGTGCATCAGAAAGTCTACAAACAGCCAGGACAAAGGTCTCTGCTTTGGATGAGGTCACTATAGTAGAAGAGCATCACTACTTCATGGGGACTGGCCTTTGTTGTTCAATTCTCTAGTCCTGCTCACTTTCTGGTTCTTGTAATCATCACCTATACAACTGTGTTTTTCTGACCTCTAGGATACACAGAGTACTGTCCAGGTTTGATGTTCTCAAAGACTTCTACTTGTGACTGCCATTCCCACCACTTTGAAGAGGTGGGTAGTTCTGTGAGTGTGAGAGATTTTATGAACCGTCTGTTCTTTTGAATGTGGCCCACGTCATACACTAAAATCAGACCGAACTGCTGTAACCAAGCAAGCATAGCTCTACTTGCCATTGGGGAGCTCTTGGTATAGTCACAAAATATGCTTCTCGACACACTGGTCCCCCAAAGAGAGGGATGCAAATTTCCATGTACTTTCGGTTTCATTTTTTATGATAAATGAGATAATTAACTTATGGGAACCCATAATGCTGTAATTATTGTTATTTTTTGTTTCTGCAGAAAGAGACATTTTCCACAAAAAATATTAAAGTCTGAGTTACAAGAAAAAGTAGAACGAGTTTCAATGTCTCAAAACCACAGACCCCATGCTTCAGACCCTCCAATTTCTTGCCTGAATAAATCAAGTTGCAGTCTTGACTTGGTGCCATAGGTAAGTGGGATAGGTGTGGGGAGAAGAGAGAATGCAGAGTCACAGCCTCTCGCCTGTGCTGAAGCTGTGAACTTCCTGGGGTATAGATGTCTTTGTGAGTACGTCCAGAAGGCTACTCTTTCATCGCCTTTCCCTTGTAATTTTATGTTCTACATGTTTTTAGACTGCAAACAGATTCTTTTGTATGTAACTCACTCGTTTTAATTTTCTCTTAAATATGTATTTATTTATCTTTATTTTGCCTGCACATATGTGCACTGCATGTGTGTCTGGTGACTGTAGAGGCCAGAAGGGTGTCAGAGCCTCTGGAACTGAGAATTGAGGCTGTTGTGAACTTCCCCCCAAGGGTGCTGGGAATCAAACCCTGGTCCTTTGTAAGCACAGTAAGTGCTTTTGACTGCTGAGCCAGTTCTGTCAGCCCTTTGGATTAGTTTTCTGGCTGACACTGAGGGGCAATTCTGACTCAGGAGTTTTGTATTAATTAGATGAATTTCAGAAAAGGAAGGTGACTTTAACAAGAGATCCTCTGCACATTAGGTTTACCTCTTACAGCCTTGCACTAGGATAAATAAAATCCCCCCCTTTAAAAGCCAAATAATTTCATAGATGTTAAAGATACAGTTCACCATATAGACCTGATTAACTGAAGAAAACTAAAGCTCCAGAACACTGATATTATGAGGTTAGAAATAGCATCTCTGCTAATCAGCAAAACCAAGAAATGAAGAGAGTTTAAATCAGACCTCATGCCTAATGCATAAGTGTGTAACAGTTTTTCTGAGATTGAAACATTCTGCCCTGCAAGGAAGCTCCTCAAATAGGAAGATAAATATCTCAACAGAGCTTCAGGAAGTCCCTGAAACTGACCAGATTCACAAGGCCCCCTCCCTGACAGAGTAAGCAATAAAAACTGAGAGTTCCCCTCAGACTTGTAAGAAAGACTCTCAGACAAGCCAAGAAGACTCAGACCAGCTGCCTGGAAGAAGCAGGAAGCAGCCTAGCTACCTGGAAGTGGTTTAGACCAACTGAGGTACATACCTGCAAAGGATACCCTCCAACCTGTTGAGCTACCTGCAGGCTGTGCAGTGTGCTCCAGGTTCCCAGCTTTGTGAGCTGTCACCTGTGTTGGCTGGGTTTTGGTGATGCCGCTGTCTTTGAGTCATTTCTGCTCCTGTAAGTAACCCCTCACCCATCTACTCCTGTAAGTAACCGAAATAAAACTCATTGGTTCACTAACTTGGACTTTGGTGATATCTGTATGTTGGTCTGTGTTGGGTTCTGTCTGGGATGAGTAGACATGGGTGCTGCATCTCCCCAGAAGAAGTTTTACCACACAGTAATAAGGTTCAAAGTTCTTTACCCTCCCTCTCCAAAAGTCATTGATTTGTTGAGGTAACACAAAATGCCTTTTCACGCACATCTCATCAGTGAGGTCTGTGGCCTATGGATCCCAGAAATACTAGCAATTCCTACAATTTCATTTTTGCAAACATAGCTCTACAATGCTGTATGTTTGAGCCAAAGGGGTTTGAACCCTTTTCTTGTCAGATATTCACTGTCTAGGTAGATAGTTTTTTGATAATAAAGTGAGTCTTGAGATGACTTTTCTGCAGCTGCTACTCCATTTCAGTTGTACTTACTGTGACTCTATTGAAATAGGAAGAAATTTATCCAGCAATAAGGTAAGCCTGTTTTGTTTTTTTTTTTCTTGTCTTTGTTTTGGTCACAACAAACTGTGAAATGCTGCTTTTCCTATAGTTCTAATGCATGAAATCTGCAATCTTTCCACTTGATTTACAAAGGACCCTTAATTACTGCTGTCATTAGCACCTACTGTTCAAAACAGTCTGTTAAAATATACCGTTAGTCTCACCTCCAAGTCCCTGCTTGCTTGGTTTTCATTTTTTCAAGGGTAAGTAAAACAATAATCGCTCTAATAACAACAGTCGTTATGTGCAGAGAAATAAATAATATCCCAAGGGTTTTGACTTTTTTTTTTTTTCACTGCTTATTTCTGTTCACTGAAAATTCGGTAGTTTGGGGCTGATGAGATTTCCAGCAGGTAAAGGTGACTGTTCAGGAGGTTGACAACCTTAGTTCAAACCCTGGTATCCCTCCACCTTGGAAGAAAGAAAAAGACTTCACAAGCTGTCGTCTGATTTCTAGTCGCCTCCCGCTACCCAACAAATAAACGTAGTAAGAAAAAAAATTAATTTTTTGGGTTAAGAGGGTCCTAGAGTTTGAGCAGGAGTTCGTCAGCACTAGCAAGGATTTACTCCTTGGGTCTTAAAAACAAGTCACTCATTTGCCTTTTTCGTTCCACATGGGTGGGAATGACAGCTGCCGGGAAGCTGCAATGTTTCTGCCTGGTCATGCACAGTTCTGCAATATAATGCATAAATGTATAACAACAACTTGGGCTCACTGGATACCTCGCTGGGCAGGAGGAAACGCAGCCAGCCTGGCGCGTCCCCGCACTCGCGCGTGCACACACACATACGCGCGCACCGCGCGCTTCTCACT